GTGTGAGTTCATTAATGCCAAGAGGTGTACGTGATAAGGCCCTCCAAGCATTCCGAGGCCCTCTGAGTGTTCGTTTACCCAGGCTGCTTGGCTCTTAAGGGTGAAGATGGCTTCATCTCTTGGAGTCTGATTCATTTAAGTAGCTTGGAAAGGGATAGTCAGAAAGGCCTCTGGCGATCTGATTACTGGGATCACAGGCGCCCTTGTCACCAGGTCTTCCTTGCTCGAGCCATGCTCTTCACTGAGGGGGTCCCATGGGTTCTGGTTTGGCTCATGGGAAGGCACTTGGGTCGCCAGCTCAGACAGGACTGTGTCGGTGTCAGAGCTGTCGCTGGACGATGCAGCTGTTTTGTGTTAGTGCAGTCATACACTGGGACAGGTGACTGGCCAGAGAGCGAGAAGGTTGGGTGATGGCTTCCCAGATGCTTGCTCTTCAAAGGTAGAGTCTGTGCTCCTGGCGGCAGACAGCCAGGTGTGTGCTGAGGAGGGCTGCCTGCGTGCGGGTTTCTACCAGGGCGCTTGCCCTCTGGACACACTGGTCTCTCCTTCACATGTAAGAACAGCATTTTACAGGAAAGAAACCATCGTCAGCTTTTGCTGGGTGCCAGCACAGTGCACTCATCAGCACTTCGTGGCCCGGCATTTTCCACATCATATACTTTTTTCCTTAGCCGTGAAATTCGGCAGATTGTTAGGCAGAGCAGTTCTGAGACTCTGTGTGACTGGGGAGACAGCTGTTCGTCCTAATGAGGATGCCGGCATCACGGCATTTCCGTTGATTGAGACCCGCGGAGGGAGCGGAATGTTCCAGACCGGGCAGTGGTGTGCAGTGAGGAGGTGCGTGCTGTCAGCTGGAGGTGCATGCTCGGCTGCTCCCTGCGACAAGATAAATGAGTTTGCCGGAGTTTGGCAGTGTCGGAAGCTTTTCCAGTGAGTGGGCGCAGGCACCGGCCTCCCCGCGGGACCTGCCGTCCAAGGGTGCCACAAAAACTGCTGCCTCTTTGCCAGTTCCTTTTTCTTCTGATGTCCTGCAATACCTGTCAAGATTGTGATTTATTAAAAGCCTAATGTCTTCTAGCATCTCATTAACATAGGGTTCGGCGATCCTTTGTTGAGGCATTTTCCCCATCAATTTAGTAGAATGTTCACTGAAATTTAACTTGGCTGGAAGCTCCTGGAGACTCCAGTCCATGGGGAAGTCAGCGGGCACCTTCCCTTCCACTTTCAAAACTCTGCCTTAGTGTAGTCTTTGCATCCGAGGACTAGCAGCACCTGGTGTGTGGTCACAACCTTCCAGTCTTTATTTGTTTAAAGAAAGAGTCCAGTTCGGTCACAGGGTGGATGACTTCTACCTCTCTGTGCCCATCCTCCCTTCGGGACATGTGGCCGTGTGCAGGGTGTGTCTTCTCTCATGGCCCTATAGGTGCAGTGCCTTGGCTTCCAACCAGCGTGATTTTCCCCCCCGGGAGACCCCATTTGGGTAGGGCCCTCTTGCGGAATCTGCTAGGCAGAGGGTGCTGCATCTCTTGGTGCTGGGATGCCTCACCACAGGGAAGGGTCCTGCCTAGACAGCAGCTCTGAGCTGAGGAATTAGCTAAGTTCAAGCTGTGGATGTGAGCAGTGTGACAAAGACTGCCAGATAGCCCTTGTGAAGATACTATTTCTAATTGTGTTCCTGGGACCTGTGTCAGAGTGTGTTGTCAGGCATTGCTGAAGCTCCTTGACTCTTCGTGGCTTTGCATACTCCAATGTTGTGTTTTTATTTTATTTTATTTTATTTATTTATTTATTTTTGAGTTGGAGTCTCACTCTGTTGC